GGGGGTGACGCTCACAGTCACAGTTTATGAAACTATTTGTTTTTACTACAAACTAAAAGAATCAGTTTATCCACAAATCTAATAAAAACTAGATTGTGATTATTGGACTTATGTAAGTGTTCTATAAGAACGACACAACAGTTACTGAGGATCATTTAAACCCAGTTTAGAAATAAACCTGGTTCAACATCAACGTCTGTTCTCAGGTGGAAATAAAGAGACGGCACCGTTCCTCAAACTGATTTAAATGTTTTAAATGTTCACTTGACAAATCTACAGACGAGAGCAGCAGCATCACTGAGCTTCAAGTCCTGATTCTGATCTGATGAATCCCACTAACGAGCACAAAGATCCCGACACAGACAACAACAGCTGATGCAACAATATAAACGGAGACACGGGACAGTCAGAGCCGTCGAGCTGAATTTACCTGCAGGGACGCAGTTTAACTCCCTCGCCCGCCTCCACGCTGTGAATCTGCAGGAGGAAGAGCCGCCACCATCCTGACACAACGACCCCGAGCTGACGAACTGCCTCCTCCCTTCCCCTCCAACCTGGTCTTGTGACTGTAGGGACAACAGCTGACACCACTCCTACAAAATAAAAGCCCCGGGGCTGCCACAGCAAAGTCTGCACTTCCTCGAGTTATCATTTCTGTACTGAAGCTTGTTTTTCACTCTCTCTTCCTCTCTCGGAATTTTTCTTTCTCTCTGTTTCACATTTCGTCCTCAGTCCATTTCTGCGTCTCGTCCCTGTTTTCCAGGTCAGTGTGACGCCTCCCGCCGCCGCCTGCTCAGGTGACGCTCACCGTCCTCATCTCTGTGAGGCGCCTGCTGACGGCGATGGGACCTGCCCACCTCCTCTACCTGTTCAATCTAACGTCACATGCACAAACACTGAAGACGATTTCAGAGATGTCCTAAAAGCTCTGTGGATTACGATACTGTGAACTCATCACTTCATTAAATTCTCTCTGTCTCGCTTTCCCTGCGGCGCAGAGACTGAAAGTTTGTCGCCTCCCACGGCACAAAGACACCAGCTCAGGTTTCATTCTGCCCCCCCCCACCCCGCAACGATTAAAGAAGATGAGGAAACGGGCCGAACGTGTGCAGATTCAAATGTGTCACTTCCTTTTTCCTGAGAAAGTTAAAAACCACCTCAGCAACAGCAAATACACAAACGTCACCAGCAGGTAGACGAGTAAACCACCAGTTTTTAAAGCGTCACATGATGGTTTGTCTTCAGGCCGCTCGCAACGACAAAACAACGCCACACAAAAAGATGCTGCCACGACGACCACAATCATTACGATGCCACAAGCACAAGTGCACGGTGCCAAGGGGCGGAGCAGGAGCTGTGATCTTACCTGACACAGGCGACAGGACCATGTTCCCCGACCTCTGAACTTCGTCAAACTTACTGAAGATGACGTTGAGCCTGGACACAGAAGAGGACAAACAGAGAATTAACGGGCAGAAGAGACACGACCATCGCTGCCTTCAGGCCTGCAGACGCTCCGCTGTGAAAAACAGACTCTCAGGAGAAAAGTTAAATAGGACAAAGACGCATCACATCCAAAAATACACCAGAGCCTGATGAACACATTGACACAAAGTCGATGTGACATCACTGCACAACAATCTGAATATAAACCAGTGAACTTATTCTACTAAACGATTTAATATTAAAGTCACAAGAAAACAAAACATTCATTTTCCCCGGAAGACGAAACACAACAAAACTAAAGAGTTGATGAAGAAGTTAAATGATCTGCAGCAGAAACAAAACCTTATAAAGTCAGATAGAGATTTTTCCAGAGTGTATGTGAACACACCTTGACTGAGGCAGGCCTTTCTTTCCCAGGTCCATTCGCACTCGCTCTCCAACGTGGCGGTAGATCTCCACGAGGCAGCTCATGGCGCCGTCACGCACCTGAAGGTCGACCATGAACACCACGAACTTACTATACTGTCGATCATTTCATTTCTGTTATGTTAACTTACATTTGATTTTAAACTTCTCATTAAATTTAAAGAGTCTGTATTTATCATGTTTTATTACATTTTATCATAAGTTCACTTCAGCTCTTGTTTTATTTATACATTTGACCAGCTATTGATTTTAAAACGTATTATAAAATAAAAAGCGGTTTCTTCATTATTTTAGTGATGATATCTCTTTGTCTACTTGAAGACAAGTGCTTAACGTGTGTGAGTGTGTTTGGCGTCAGGAAGGGAAGTTCATGGGCACAGCTTCCTGTCCTCCGGACGAGGTTCCGGCGATGACGGACGTCTAACAAACTTGAACGCAGAGCGGAGTGTGGTGGTCACAGGTTTGAACCCTGCGCTCTGTTTACAGAGATCTGCTTCAACTCTCGCACAGTGAACGAGCGGGGGTTTCGAAAATGAAACAGAACCCAACACTGCTGAGGTGTAATGTTCACATGTGACCAGCAGAGGGCGCCTTCCACTAGATTCATGTACAGATCCAGTATTCACATTATTCAGCTTGAGTTTTAAAACTCATCACTGTTGCTATGGTTACGCTGCACACACAGCGCGTCAGTGCGGACGGATTTTATTTACGATAATGAGGTCGTTGAAGTTTGCTGGTCGTGTCCAGCGGGTCGTACCTGACTCGTCGGATCTCCGAGGAGGTTACAGATGTGAGGAACTATTTTACTCAGCGTCAGACTCTGAGATCCAAACCTGGAAAAACACAAAGATGGAGAATTAAACACACAAGGATATTTTTAAGAATCAGAGCTGAAACATTTCCACAGATTGATTTTTGGTGACTAAATCATTTAGTGGCTTTTCAAGTAAAATGTCAAACATGTGAACTTACACGTTTAAAGTTGAGATGAGACACAGACAGAGTCCCTCTCTGGTCCTGTTGTTCTTGTGTTTGAAGCCGCCCATCATCCGCTCCCACACGTACTGAAGTCACACAAATCACATGTTCCAGCGAACAAACCAAACACGATGTCCTCTGATCGAGTACATG